TGGGTCACTAGGCTCTTTACTACGTAGTTTTTAAACCCAGAACTCTTTATTACGTACTTTTTTAACCTGTACTCGGGTCTTTCCAAGGCATTAGTTTTAGAGAAAAGGGTCCCTGTCTGTAACTATGTGCTAGAGAAGTAACTGAGGTAGGTTGCTCTGGCGTTCCCGCGGCCTCCTGTGGGCTTCAGCGCTTCCTGTACACGTTGCAGGCCTTTTTTGATTCAGAGCAACCTGCCCAGCTCGGGCGGCAGCCTAGGTGCGCCCCTGCCGCTGTTATCTGGAGTCACGTGAGGCCTGGCCCCGCCCCGGAGTCCTGAGGTCTGCGTGCGTGCTCGCTGCCTTTGCAGAAGCACGGAGCTCCAGCGCGGGTAGGAGGCATGGGCGCATGGCTGCCGGGCCAGGTTGAGCACTGGGAAGAAAAGCCGGGGCGCCTCGGCGGCGGTGCTGCCCTGCGGGGCTGACTCGCAGGTGGACTAACCCGAAAGGTTTGAAGGGACACTTGTGAAGCATGGTGGCTCATGATGAGATCGGAGGTCTCCTGCCCATTAAAAGGACGATCCGAGTCTTAGATGTTAATAACCAGCCCTTCAGGGAGCAGGAGGTAAGAGAAACAGACCAAAGGAATGTTTTCCAACTCCGCAGAACTTCTAAGACTTTAAAATTTGAAACTTTTAATCGTATCAAATCTTAAAGTGCGTAACTTTTTAAGCAAGCCTGAAATGTGTTTAGGAGCTGGTCTAAGCTTAAGCAGTTTGTTTGTTTTTGTTTTTGTTTTTTTGTATAAAACATAGCTAGATTGTGTACAGCTTACATACAAAGAAGATTTTAAATGTATATGCGTCTCTGGGTTAACATATTTCTCATGTTTGATATGGTTGTGCTTTTGTGGGTTGCCTTTTTAAAAAAAAAAACTTTCATTATTAAGTCTTAGGGACTGTTTTAAGGGAGGAAGTAAAAATAAGAATATTTTCCTCTCAATGCCAGTGAGTAACTGAGTAAAGCCTGACCCACATGTAGTTAAGTTTGCCCCGTGCCCTTTTTTCTCCTGAAAGGATTTCAGCCCATGGAACACTGATGCTCAGCCTGCCTTGCTTTGAAGTCATTTTGGCTTTCGAAAGTCTTTATGAACATTTATGAAAAAAATATTTTATGTCATTTTATGTAATCTTAACAGTTGATTGGCACTGCATTGTATCCCTCAGTGCCCTGCTGCCTGATCGCTTACGTGGTAGAAATGGTTAAGGGTTCAGCTAACCGAATCTCTTGATGATAGTGATGGTTTTTGCCAAAATATATGTAATTGTGCATTTTAAACATGAGCAGTTTGTTGTGTCTCAAGGAAGCTGTTTCTTATACTTATGTTTGGGGTATTAAATTGCCATCTTCAGAAAGTCTGCCTTTATCTGAGGGTTGATAATGAGTTTTGTTATTTGTTTGGTTTTAGTTTTTCTTATGTACTTACATTTTATAAAATGAATAAGCATTTTCTTCAAAGAGAATACTTCATATAATGCCATGACTAAAAATACTCAAAGTAGCTATCTTTTGGGCAATCAAGGCTGACCCTTTTTGGTTAGTGTGAAACATGGGCTGTTTTCCTGGCCCTTTCATTGGAGCACTAAAATCACCAGGAATGGGGTCCAGGCTTTAGAACTGTCCACACAGCCTTAATGACTTCAGTGTAAAAGAGAGAATACTGTGTGATCAAAACTTGTCTTTGTCTTTCTCAAAAAAAATTTTTTTATTCTTGTTTTTCTGGTTTTAAAGTTCTTACCAAATGAGAAATTATGTATAAGCAATCCAAAAGGAATAAACTTAAGACACATACTTTTTAAAGTATTATTTGATTGACTCTAAAATATGCCCTGTAATGACATTATTAGGGAAAAAAAACTTTATAAGAAGTTCACCAAAGAGTTTCATCCAGGCTGCTGTTTATAAGTAAGATACATCCCAGTTAAGCTTTAAAGTAGACTTAATTTTCTGTTTATAGATCTTCGGAAAGTATCTTAGGACATAAAGTGAGTGGAGGTGAATTGTGAAAACTCAGTAACTTAAAAGCCCAGGCTTAGGCAGATTTCCTAAGGTGATAGATGCATTAGCTGTCTAAACTAGATAGTCGATTAAAGATTAACCTGAGTAAACAGCATAGACTTCTGAGAGCAGATGTGAACTTTCAGATGGAAGCAGAACCTTCCAAGTGAACTTAGCCCTCACAAAAGGTTGCCTACAGAAGTTCCTTGAGGGTAAGCCTCGTAGCTACTTTGATTCCCAGATTGGCTGCCTGTCATTAGGGGAGAGTGGATGGTGTTAGTGTCCATGGCTGGTTATAAGCTGTTTATGTTTACTATAATAGGCTTCCAGCACTCTAAGAAGTCGCCACCACCACCATTATATATAATTAAGCCTTACCTTTGGAGATGGGGGTGGGGGAGTATGTCTGTGTGTCTGTGTGTGGGTGCCTGTGGGTGTGTACTTTCATCACCTCCAAATATCCCTGCTGAGTCCTGTCTGGGGAGAGGTGAATGTGGTTGTAACAACAGTCTTATGATACAGATGCGCATGTCCTTAAGAAATCTACATAACTAAAGTACTTCTCTTGGACCTGTAGAAGAAAAACTATTGCTTATTTATAATTTACACAGCCCAAATTAATAACCCATGTTTCTAAAGATACAGGTTTCTGCCCGTACCTCTTTAGTGACTCTTGAGTGCCTAATCCATTTTACTTCTCCACAAAAACTTGTATGTATGATCTTTTCTTCAGATAGTATCTATATCCTGAAGTTGACAGTAGGCCATTTCCAGTGTTCCACTTTTACCCTTCATTACGATTTTTTATTATTTGAATATGAGTTCCCAAATGGTTGTTCCACCATGTTTGACATTTTTGTTTGTATATTTTATTTTATTTTGGTTTGGTTTTTTCTCAGGTCGCCCAAGCTAGGCAAGGCTGTCCCAGAATTCTTGGTGGTCCTCTGTCCAAACCCACCAAGTATAATATACTTTCTTACCAAGCATTTTAGACTTGGCAGACTGAATAGTGACATCCTTAAAGAAGGGCGATTGTAGTTAGTTTTAAAGAACTGTGAATGTGTTTAGCCACCAAGTGCAGCCGAAAGAAATACATAAGCAAAATCTGTAATAGTGGTATAAAAGTGTTTTAGATAAATGATGTTTAGTTACCTAAGTCTAAATGCTCTAAGTTTAGTGAGAGGATGCCTGCCTGAATCTCACAGGGGCCTGGGCTAGTCCTCAACACAGTAATAATCATAATGATAATAATTCTGCTTTTATTTTAAACATGACATAACTTTTAATTACCAAGAAATTAGTAGTTTTACAATAATCTTATAAAGACAAGACTCTATCAATAATTTTATTTAATACAACAATATCAAAATCCCTTTCTTCTTCTTCACTGAACTGACTTTTACTTTCTCACTCCCTGGGAGGTGCACCTTTCCAAAGACCCTCAAATGGAAATTAAATATTTGGTGATTTACTGGGCAGTGAAATGTTGATGCTTTGACCAGGGAAGAGGTGCTAACCTCTAGAAGACAGGAGTCACAGCAGCTGCTCCGTGTCTAGTTCATGTTGGCAGATCTTGTTGGTGAGGTCATCCTATCTCCATTCACACAGGAGACTCTTTGTGCTGTCTTTACTAAATGGAAAGGAATGCCTCAAGCTGCCCCTGCACACGCTTGTGTCACTCAGTCTGCACAGATGTGTGGTGAAGGCATTCACACATGTCCTCGTCGTATATGGCGTGTGCTGTTTTACTACACGTCTCAAAGGCTTCTTTTTCAGCTCATCGTGCTTTTATAGTTTAAGTTTTGCTTCGCAGTTAGTTATTTGGAGGAGGGAGGGAGTGGTTTACAACTCTACCTCTTAAAGCCTCCAAAGTTGAATTCTCTTTGAAGTCTCTTCAGTCACTGGTGTTCCTTTTTGGTGCGTGCGTGTGTGCGTGCTGCGTGCGTGTGTGCCCATCAGGAGTTTAGAAGCCAACATGCTGCTTGGGCTGTTTGACTCATTGAAGTTTCTACCTACTTTCAAAGTTTTCTCCCTGTTTGTTCTTAATTATAAGGGTTATTTTTATTTGATTTCCTTTCTCCTTTCTTTTAAAGTAATTTGGTCTTGTCATAAAACTTTTTAGGGGGGAAAATGTTCTTCAATTACTTCTTAATTTAATGGTGATCATTTTTTGAGACAGAGTCTCTGTAGCCCTGGCTGGCCAGAACTCCCTTTGTAGACCAAATTTGCCTTGAACTCAAAGAGATCTGCCTGAGTCTGCCTCCCAAGTGTTGGAATTAAAGGTGTACACCACCATGCCTGGCCTTGGTGATCTTAATATAATTTACATTATATATCCTTCTGAATTCGCGTCAGAATTATTTTATCATGTGTGACACCTGTCAAAGGCACCACATGCCAATAGTTTATGCTCCCTCTGCAGATCCACTTTTATTTCGGTAACTGTGTGACGTCCTCTGATGATGTGTCCCATGTATCTCACACTAGCTTTGTGAAGTTCTGAAATGCATGAATGCTAACACATGTTTCCTGTGCTCTTGCTATTTTCAAAGCTCTGCCAGTTCTTTGCCCAGACAAGCGAGGCTCTGGCTGTGCCATTACAAGAGCTGGAGCCAGGATTCTAGGCCTATCCAAGCCTAGGAGTCCTTTGAACCTCCCCTCTGCCTGGGCTTGAGCATTTGTTGACCCATTTCAGTGTCAGACATGTTTAAAGGTTGTTCTCCAACTGAAGTAGTTAAGAATGGAATCACATAATCCTGGGACAGGGAAGAAATGTTGATTTCCTTAAGCTGTTGTTATTTGGTATTGTTCTAGTTTAACATGAAGAACAGCAGTCATTTTTTTAGTTCCCTGTCTCCTTGTCTTACACAAACACTGTTTTGTAAGAGGGTTTAATTTTGTCTGGGCTTGTATGAAATCATTACACCTCAACACATATGTATTGTAATCTGCTTTTGTTTTCCCAGGAGCCAAGCAATAAAAGAGTTCGGCCTCTCGCTCGGGTCACATCCTTGGCAAACTTAATCTCTCCCGTCAGAAATGGAGCAGTCAGGCGCTTTGGTCAAACCATACAGGTGAAAAGGGGGGTGGGTGGGAGGGGTGTGCTTAGGACGCTTTTATAGACGCCTAAACTTTGTTTTCCTCCGAGCTGTGCAAACATGTTTGCGTTGTTACACCACAGTGTTTGGTTTTGATCTGCTGGCGGGGAATATCTTACCAGACTAGTGTTTGTATAAGCTGTGTTCACTTGGATCCTTTGTCAAAGGCTCCTCTTAGACCATTTCATTCCCCAAAACTAAATGGAGTTGATAAGTAGTTTTACCTGTTAGATTAAAACTTAAATGATTGTTTTACATACTGAGAAATTCTCAAAAATGTGTTACAATTTTTTTTATAATTTTTTTTAATACAAGATAATTGTTGTAGCCTCCAAATCTCATTTTCTCTTTCATTTGCCTCTTTTAAGTCATTTACCCTTCGTGGTGACCACAGATCTCCAGCTTCTGCCCAGAAGTCATTCAGCAGGTCTACAGTCCCAACACCCACAAAGAGAAGAAGTAGTGTGCTATGGTCGGAGATGCTAGACATCAGTATGAAGGAGTCCTTGACCACTCGAGAGATCAAACGTCAGGAGGTAGGCTGGCTCTCAGTACTCAGACCGTATTTATTGAGTTATGCCAGGAAAGAAAAAGTTTCTAAATACAGGTCTTGCCAGAAGAAATAGAAACTAACTAATGCTAGTTTGCTTGTTTGTTTGTTTGTTTGTTTTAATTTAAGCAATTATTCATAGCCACCTAGTCCATAACAGTTTATAGTGGGTGGTGCTCATCAGATTCAACAGCTAGTAGATAAGTGATAGGAAAAAAAGCAAACGTACTTGAGAGTCCATCCTGAATTAGAATTTTCAGACCAAGTCTCTTAAAAAGAGATATAACATCAAGCAGTATAAATGTCAATTACATCATTTTCATTTCTGACTTCTGCTATTTCTGGATGTTTTTAGGCAATATATGAATTGTCCCGAGGCGAACAGGACTTAATCGAGGATCTCAAGCTTGCTAGAAAGGTCAGTAGTCACTTTACACACACCAGTCCTTACAGGTGACATATCACAGCTTCTAGAGGGTAGTTTCTTAACCTTTGAAGTAGAAAGTAAAAGTGTTTGACATCTTTGACTCGAGAATGAAACACAGCTTTTCAAAGGTGACCACTAGTAAACCTTTAGGGGTGAACGTAACTGTAGTGTCTCTCCAGAATCTGTGTCCTTCTATGTAGTTACTGGGGTGCACTCAACGACAGGTTGTTCAAGTGGTTTCTTCGCTCAGTCTTTGTGTGATGTATTTCTTCCCCTCCGATAGGCCTACCATGACCCCATGTTAAAGTTGTCCATCATGTCAGAAGAGGAACTCACACACATATTTGGCGATTTGGATGCTTACATACCTCTGCATGAAGGTCAGCTTGGCTCTTAATTTCCATTCATCTCTGAATAGAACTAACACAAGTAATTTTAACTTAATAATAATGTGGAACTCACCAGTTCTTTTTCAATAAGTGTATCTTTGCTCTTGTACACTCAGATTTGTTGGCAAGAATAGGAGAAGCAACCAAGCCTGACGGGACAGTGGAACAGATCGGTCACATTCTCGTGAACTGGGTAAGCAAGTCATCGTATATAACAAGCAGTGCTGCAGCCTGTGGCGTCACTCAGAGCAGTTTGGTCGTACCACTAGAGTCTAAAAACAAGACATTAAACTCCAACAAAGTTGTGGTGATAAGAGTTTATAATCTTGTAAAAAATACAGAGCTTGATTGTGTTACAGACCTGCTTACAAATAACATCCCTGATTGAGCAAAATTCCCATAATGCTATGCTGCTTATCATCTGTTGCAATCTTTCATGGGCATGCTTGAGTGCTTATTGTATGCTGGGCCTTGTTCAAGGAGGATTCCTGGGGACTCAGTGATAAAGGTCGTTTCTACGTGTATGACTTCACAGGAGAAGGAGCAGGCCCATAGAGTGTCAAGATTGTGAGGAGTGTCATAGAAACAACTCGGATGACTGGGAACACAAATAGCTAACATCTTAGTGAGACTTGGAAGTAGTAGCTGAGTCTTTTGTGGTTTGTGCCACCGCCTGTTAAGCGCCTGGTCCTAATGGCACTGTGTCACACTTTGTCTTTGCTCTCCAGTTACCAGGCCTGAATGCCTACAAAGGCTACTGTAGTAACCAGCTGGCGGCCAAGGCTCTTCTGGATCAGAAGAAACAAGACCCAAGAGTCCAAGACTTCCTCCAGCGCTGTCTGGAGTCTCCCTTCAGTCGGAAACTAGATCTTTGGAGTTTCCTAGATATCCCTCGAAGTCGCCTTGTCAAATACCCTTTACTGTTAAAAGAAATCCTTAGACACACTCCAAAAGACCATCCTGATGTTCAGCTTCTGGAGGAAGCAGTAAGTAATAAATGAGTATTTCAAGTTTAGCATCAATAACCTTAGGAAAGCATAGCATGGTATTCTCAAATCTCATGTCATCAAAAGACTTGAGTTTTATTCTGGTTCCTTCCACTGTCTGATGGCCTTGAACTAGTCACCTAGTGTGGCTGGGACCAATTCCTCATATGAATAATGAAGAGACCAACTGATTGATTTCTCGAGTCCCTTCCCACTTTAGACCCTGTCCTTTTGTGTGAATGTTTGCTCTGGACGGAGGTTGGGAGGTTGATATACAGCAGTTGCTCCATCTGGTTTCATTTTCTTCATCATTTTTAGGTATTGATAATACAAGGGGTTCTTTCTGATATCAACTTGAAGAAAGGTGAATCCGAGTGTCAGTATTACATCGACAAGCTGGAGTACCTGGATGAGAAGCAGAAGGACCCCAGGATTGAAGCTAGCAAAGTGCTGCTGTGCCATGGGGAGCTGAAGAATAAAAGTGGCCATGTGAGTGGATTCGAGTACGAACCAGGAGGAAGCCGTTACTTTCCTCTTCCCAGCCTGCTTAATTTTCACACATAAATTATGAGGCAGGTTTGTAAAAATAAACCTGCTGCTTGCAGGAAGGTTCCTGATTGTTTATGTGACCAGTTTTGGTAAAGCAAGCATTTGGTTCTGTAGTTGCAGAATAAATAAGACTGAAATGCCTCGGCCAGGAATCCTTCGTGTCCAGTTGTGAACTGTAAGCCAATGTGTGTGGCTGGCGTCTCCTGTCCACGCTTCATAATGTTTCATAAACACACACCTCAGGAAATGAGTCATGCTAGTAGTTTTAGCACCACTCAAATTCTGCAGCAGATTAAATAAAAGCAATTTTATTTTTTAAATATTAATTATAAAAGAACCTTCTGGATAAGAAGTCAGGAATGGTATTTTTGTTTTATATGTGCTTTCCAAAAGTTGCATTTATAAGTTAGGGGTTCTTTAAAAAAAAGTTGAAATCCAGCCTATCTGATATCTATCACAGGCCAAATTATTCTATAAAGGCTTAGCTTGTGTAGACAGAGCGGAACCATGAACACTGTAGCAGCATTCATACAGTACTGGAGTTTCAAACCTGTTTCTGCTGATTCCAGGTCTTTGAGATACATCGTGTTTACTCAGCTGTTGCCCAACCTGCTAGTGCAGCCCAATGAAAGAAAAGAGCTTTAGGGAGACTGAGCTTGAGTGCTCCAAGTAAAGCCTGCATGGCCTTGAGACCACTGTTTTATGACACCATTTTTAAAGGAGAAATCGGAATACTCTAAATGTCAAGTCCAGTTGTTTAACAATCAGGTTCCTTATTTAGGAAGTTTTGGGTTTTTTTCTTCCTTTCTGCAGAAACTGTACATTTTCCTGTTTCAAGACATTTTGGTTTTGACTCGGCCTGTCACACGAAATGAGCGTCACTCCTACCAGGTTTACCGGCAGCCAATCCCAGTGCAGGAGCTGGTGCTGGAAGACCTGCAGGATGGGGATGTGCGCATGGGTGGTTCCTTCCGAGGGGCCTTTGGCAACTCAGACAAAGGTAAGCTAGAGGTTCTAGAACAGTTACGCAAAGGAGCCGGATTAGATGGGGAGAGGAGGGTTGAAGCAGAACAGCCACATGTTTGAAGCCAACCTGGGCTACAGAGTGAGACCCATCTCGAAAAACACTACCAAAGAGAAAAAACAAATGTACCTAAATGAAATTAGACTTCACCCTTAAGAATTTTAAGAATAAAACCATTCCCCAGTCCTGTACTGGCACAAAATTGAGTTGGTCAGGGACCTCTGGCTAGAGGCTGTCTTTAAGAGTGTGTGTGTCGCCGGGCGGTGGTGGCGCACACCTTTAATCCCAGCACTCGGGAGGCAGAGCCAGGCGGATCTCTGTGAGTTCGAGGCCAGCCTGGGCTACCAAGTGAGTCCCAGGAAAGGCGCAAAGCTACACAGAGAAACCCTGTCTCGAAAAACCAAAAAAAAAAAAAAAAAAAAAAAGAGTGTGTGTGTCACATAAACACTAGAACTTTCCTTAAGACTGCATGACCACTTTCTTAGTCTTGACTCCCTTTTTCTCCCTTCAGCTAAAAACATCTTTCGAGTCCGCTTCCGGGACCCCTCTCCAGGCCAGTCCCACACACTACAAGCCAACGACGTGTTCCATAAGCAGCAATGGGTCAACTGCATCCGGACCGCCATCACCCCTTTCCAGCGGGCTGCCAGCCCCCTGGAGCTGCAGGGCCTGCCGGAGCTCCACGAGGAGTGTGAGGAGAACAACCCATCAGTTGGGAATCTCCAAGCCCAGCGAAGGTCATCCATGGTGCCCGGGTTTACTCAGGTAGATGATGAAAGCGTGCTGGAATGTGGCTCCAGTGTCCAGACGGCCGAAGACACCAAGAGCGTGAAGGCACCTCGAGGCCAGCCTGGCTTACGAAGAGCAAGGGACAGAGCCCAGTCAGGCGGTGGCAGAAAAGAGACTCTGGTGTAAATGTGTGCTCTCTGGTGGGAGGCTGTTTATTTATAAATTTGTACAGTTTTCGTCTTATAATGGGAGCATCCTAGGGTACTCTGTGCCAGCTCTGATGTGTTCTTGGTTTGGGTTTCTCTCTCTCACTCTCTCCCCCTCCCTCCCCTCCTGTTATTGTTCTTGTCTTCGTTGTTAATGGCAGCTAAAGATACACAGATTACTGTTAAATTGCGGACTTCAAAGGGGTATTTTCATGGATTATTTGGAACATACCAACCTGGTATTTGGTATCAGAAGAAATATGTATGAAACTAGTGTTGGCCTGACTAGAGGTTCACCATGACTTTCCAGTTCCAACCAAATGTGATATTTACAGTATTTGCCAAACTTAAGTTTTGTAAATGCTGAAATTCTATCAGTGTTCCTTGTTAAATCTCAAATGATGAATGAAATTTTAATAATGACACCTACAATCTACATGGAAGATTTTTGAGTTTGAAATATTTGAGTATTTACAGTGAAGCACTGCTTCCTTGGAAAACAATCCTACAGCTTGGTATGTTTTCCATTTTTATCAACTGGAATGCCTTCTATCAGTTTTTCACTGCACATTCATCATTTTTCATTCATTTATTCTGCCAACTATTTAATTTTTTATTGTAAAGTAGTTTTTAGTATTTGCTTTTATTTTTTTACATTGATGCCTTTTTTAAATTGGCATGTCCTTAAAGTTTTTCCTCCTGATTAAAGTGTGTGTGTGTGTGTGTGTGTGTGTGTGTGTGTGTGTGTGTGTGTGTGTGTGTTAATCGTATTAATTTTACTAAGTGAAACCAAGCCATACTGTTGAGCCAGTTAAGAAAACTGCATTTTTACGGTGTATCATGTTGGGGTAGTAAAGACCCATGAAATGACTTAGTATGTTCTAGACTACTGAAAGAAACCACAAGAAGGACTTCGGTGAAAGTTTTGGTGTTGTGTGGAAAGCAAGAGAGAAGGCAGGAGACTGGAATAGTGAAGAGAAGGACAGGGGAAAGGAGTTAGCCTAGAGTGAAAATGTCTGACTGAACCAGAGGAGCAGAGACAGGAAAAGCCTGGCTTGAGGGTGTGTAGGAAGTTGAAGAAGGCCAGAGGGGGGTGTGAACTGTATTTGCTTTGGTTTCTCATACCTGCAAATACTGAATTGGAAAAGAAACTGTAAAATGTGTTGGAAATTTGACCATATTAGGTTAAAACCAGATTGGTTTTCTTCACTTAAAAAAAAAAAAAGCTGGTGATTCTTCATTGCAAAGTATTTGTGTTTAAATGGGATCGTGCTCTTTAAAGGAGGGAGGGGGACTGAGGTTCCGTGTTAGCCCAGATTTACACTGGCAATCAGTTCAAGTCATTGTTAACCATCATGTGAAATATATCTCCATTGGAAATGAAAATCGGAAAAGGCTGTAAATAGATCAATCAAATGATTTCTTTGTATAAATGAATTATACAATTAAAAAAAAAGCACACACATAATAACCCAAAACATTTCTTGCCTGGTTGATATCTTGTGGGGGTGGTCAGTCCACTGGAACATGAGGATTTAGCTAAGGGGGTAGATTGTGTAAAACTTACAATGGTTAAGGAAATACCAAATCCTTTCGAAATTTGTTGATGAGTAAGAAAGGACAGTAGTTTATCTTGTGAGTCATGTGATCTTAAAGGACACAGTGGAATCAGAAGTCACCATTGTATTTCAGACAGTTGACCATATGCCCGTCTTCTGGATACAGTAGTAAAGCAAATAGCAAATGTCTTCATTAATTTGGTTAATCCTGGATTCTGATGTAGGTGTCTCAACGTCCTCACTTTGGAAATCCAAATTCAGAAGTGTCTCTTATACCTGTGGTATGGTCTGTAACAACAGAAAACAAGGCGCTGGTCCCATCCAGGGTATCATGGAGTTTAGTTCCTGTCCGAGTGGCCTTGTTCAGCTTCCCGAGTTAGAGAAGCAAGTGCTTCAGATGGTGTAATGGAATGATGTTTTATCTAAAGGTATCTTGCTTTGGTTTCCTCAAGGGAACAGTAATAACATGAGCTGAGGATTCTCAGGAGTGGCCTCTGTTGGGCAGTATTCAATGACCTCGGCTCAGTCCTCAGACTTGTCAGGGCATCACCAGCAGTCAGGGATGCTTTCAGAAATAAAAGTGACTAGGCCTCACTCTAGCCCTCACACCATTTCACTAGATCCAGATATCAGAAGAGAGAGCTGACCATGGGTTTTTATGGTTACGTAAGGCCATTTTCATTCAAGTATATGTAATGATTTTCTGAGACAGTCTTTCTGGGTATCCCTGACTGGCCAAGAACTCACCATGTAGCCCATGCTGCTGCTTCTAAGCTTGATCCTTTTGCCTCTCCTCGAGTGCTGGGATTATAGGTGCATGTCACCACACGCAGCTCTGATCATGTGTTTTCAAATGTTCCCTCCTAGTAATGCTGATGCTCTGATGACCTAGCCAATCCCTATACATGAATGATAAATAATACCTTAATGTATCTGTCTTCTTGCATCACCTTAACTTGTTTAGAATTGAAGCTGAGGGGTCTGATTTCTTCCCTAGCTACTTCCAGTGAGTTCACTTAACTGTAAGGCTAATCCCTTCCTAGGTGCTCGGTGCTCCGCCAGGGTGTGCGCACACAAAGTGCTGATGGGAAGCCAGTTGTCAAGCAGTAGTTTTGATCATGGCATCACCAGGACACCCAAGAATCAATTAAGACACTTCTACTGACCTGATGGGTGTTGGGTAACTTTTGTGCTAGCTGTCTATTTTGTGTTTAATGTTTTGAGTATGCAAATCCAACACAATACTTATTTTCAGATATATAAGCAAGGTGATAACTCTGCCGACAAACCTAATGCCCCTTTGTCCAGAGAACCTAGTTCCCCTGAGAGGAATGTACTAGAATATGAATCTCCCTAGATCTGAAGGAAGGCTAGAACTTCTGAATGCAGAGATTTAATTTCTACATATCTCAGCCACCTCCAGCCAACCACAGGACACAGATCTCACATCCATGCCGTGTTCTAGTTTTCTTCTCTGTCCCTATGATCAGCACCACAAGCAAAAGCAACTTGGGGCTCCTTACAAGTCACAGTCCACCATCATGGAAAGCCAGGGCAGGAGCCCACACCTGGAGGCAGGTACTGAAGCAGAAGACATGGAGGAATACTGCTACTCACTGGCTTGGTTTGCTCATCCTGCTCTCTTCCATAACCCAGGCCACCTACTCAGCTAGCACCACCCACAGTGGCCTGGGCCCTCCCACATCAATCAGTAATCAAGAGCTGCCGGACAGGCTAATCTGATGGAGGCATCCTTCAACTGAGGTTCCCTCTTCCCAGGTGACTCTAGTTTGTGTCAAGTTGAGAGAAGCTAACCAGCACATGGTTACTCATGCAGTGATAACTTAAAATCACTTAGGACCTGTTTATCTTGACCCTTTCTCCAGGAAAACGTGTAGCCATATGCACACACCCACACAACTTAAGAACCTTGGGCATGCCCCAAACTCGCTCTGAACTCACATTCAGATCTGCCCATGTCTGTCCTGGTAGGACTCTGGGAACCTTTAGAGTTAAGGACTTGTCTTGCCCATAGTTTATCAAAGCATTGCCCTATCCTCACTTTGTAAATAATTGTTTGAAATCTATTATCTTCCACAGTCAAACCTCTTCTAAGTCATTTGTAACACATTTGACTGTTCTAGATAAAAATTTCTCCAAGATAACATGAAAATACATTTTTCTTATTTTGTAAAACTGAATTCGATGCCAATGTCCTCCCTCTGCTTTTGCAGAAGATGGACTGCTCAGGGGGTGATAAATGTGGATCTGAAGAAAGCCTTATTCTCTCCCTGGCCACGAGACACAGTCTGGCAACTACAAGAGCAGGAACTGTCATGGAGCAGGAACTGATTTAAAAGATCTGAGTACAGCTGAGCATCAATTAGGATGAAATTACCGTTGATGAGAACATGTCAATGTCCACAGTGTTATAATTCTTTCAAAAATGAATTTTAAGCCAAGGAAATGGCCCAGTGAGTAAAGGCACCTGCCACTAACCCTGACAAACCGAATTGTTTGTTTTTATTATATGCTTTTTTTTATTTTTTATTCATTTTACATACCAACCACAGATCCCCCTCCCATCCCTCCTCCTGTGCCCCCTCTCCCACCTACCCCTACTCCTCCAAAAGGATAAGGCCTCCCATGGTGAGTCAACAAAGCCTGGAACATTCAGTTGAGGCAGAACCAAGGCCCTCCCCACTGCATCAAGGCTGAGCAAGGCGTCCCATCATAGGAATGGACTCCAAAAAGCCAGCTCGTGCACCAGGGATAGATCCTGAAATGAAGCATTGAGGGCTTTCAGTAAGACCCTGTTGTTAGCATTCACGCTCACTTCTTGGAGTCCTGGCCAATAAGCAGGTAATACCTTGGCCCACCCAGCGTCTCCTATGTAAACTCCCCTTTAAGAAAAGCCTCTCTCTCTCTCTCTCTCTCTCTCTCTCTCTCTCTCTCTCTCTCTCTCTCTCTCTCTCCTCTCTCTCCTCTCTCTCCTCTCCCTCCCCTCCCCTCCCCTCCCCTCCCCTCCCCTCCCCTCCCCTCCCCTCTCCTCTCTCCTCTCTCTCTCCCCATTCTTTCCTCTCTTCCCTTCTCCCTATCCCCTTTAATAATAAAACTGTTCATGTGAGTGCCGCCTGTGTAGTGAGTGTTTCCCCCAGGTCCTGCCCTCTGTGACCGCCACATGGTGTGTCTATTTCTTACTGGCCTAGGGCCCCTCAGCTCCAACCCACAAGGTCTCTCTCCCACCCATTTTAAAATACAACACCTGCACTCTCCATTTGACTGGTTCCTAGAGTCTTTGACTGTCAGAGTCAACAAGCCTGTCAAGGTGGTTTCCTGGTCCCACACTGGCCAATGGTGGAAAACAAACTGTCTCAAGATTGGGGCCCCGCAGTTCTTTGCCTGTCATCCCTCCAGACCCTGCACTCTCCCCAGCCTGTCCCGCTGTGTAGAGTCCCTGTCATCCCTCCAGACCCTGCACTCTCCCCAGCCTGTCCCGCTGTGTAGAGTCCCTGTCATCCCTCCAGACCCTGCACTC